AAATTGGTTATTTAAAAGCTTGGGAACCAGCCTGTTCCTCCAAAGCGCTGGCGTTGGAAGCAACCATTTCCACCGCACTGGGGTAAGAGGAGCATCCCCGTTCTGTTGGCTTCAGTAGCTTCTGCAGATCTCACCAGGGCACTGCAAGTAAAATGGGGAGAGGTCCCAGAATCGGGGGTGGAGGTATCCCGTTCGCCCAGCTCCCTGCTGTACAGGCACTTTCAGACAAGATGCTGGCTAGAGTTTGTTTAGTTTAACTTGCCTTGTCAGTAGCAAAAGCCCTGTCAGATGCCGGCTGGTTTGTGGGCCGGGAAGTTTGACCTCCCTTGAGTGATCTTTCATGGCCGGTTTTGCCTTTCTGATGCTTCCCATATCATTTTATACCACGAATGGGGTCATTAGAAGTCCAGGGGGAAGAGAGGTGGGGAGAGCACGTGAGTTACTGTCATATCAGCTGTCAACAGCCTGTCTACTCGGCTGTTCCAGAGAGCTGTCCTGGTTTGACTTCAGGGCTGGGGAACCGTTTTTCGGGTCAGGGGCCGCTGACCCACAGAAAAATCAGTTGGGGGCTGCACACAACTTCCCCCCGACCCCTAGCTGAGAAGGAGAAAGATGCTCCTCACATTCTTCACACACCAGAGCCTAGCGGGGCCCAGGCTGGTAGATTTTGTGTGCTCCAGCCCTGTGGGAGCCCTGAGCCTTGGGGGCCAGATCTAGGCAAGCCAGGGGTGCATCTAGCCCCTGGACCGTAGGTCCCCCACCCCTGTGTTACTCGGAGCCGTGCATGTTTCTTGGCTGCCGTTCTTTCTGCTGTGGCACTGAATTTTTAGCAAAAAACACGATGCAGGGGGGAAGCGTTCAGAGATCACCCGGATGGGGCATGGTCTAACGTCAGATGAGGCCCCTGCCTTGCAAAATGGCCTTTTCTCTTTCTGATCGTAGCTAACGCTGCCCATGTCTCCTGACCTGGTGAGAGCTGAAACCGCAGTGCCGTGACCCAGAGTGACAGCAGCAACGGATTAAACACAAATACATAGAAAGCTTCGGGCGCGGGGGCGGCTTTGGAAGAGCAGAAGGGTGGAAAATATTTCTGGCGTGGTGTCCTAGGCTGTCAGGAAGCAGCTAACGCATGACCGTGAAAGACGAGTAAAAGGAAGGTGGCGGAGGACATGTACATAACAGGAGGCTGGTGGTGGGGTACCTCCTCTCCCCCCGTCTTCTGCCTGGGTGGGGAGCGCAGTAGCAGCTGCTGGAACGGCGGTACATTCTGTTCGCTTCCCCTGCGCGGGGAACACATGATGTAACCCGTCGTTTTGTGCAGAGTAGGAGGGGATGTCACACTGGGAAATAAATGTGGCCCTGGCAGTTTTACGTTTCACTTTCAGCCATGTAACATAACAGCTATGGAGTGACTGCAACCCCTGTGAAGTCGCTTGATTTTTCCATTCTTCTTTTAGCCGAGGCCCGGCAGGCGAGCGCTGGTGTGTCTGTTCCAGCAGTCTGCAGGCTGTGCCTCTGTTTCCTCTTTGCCCAGGAACCTAGAACACTGCATGTGAAGACAGTACCCCAGTTTTCCTCTTGTCTGCGGGCGTATTGTCTCCGTGAGCGCTAGCTCTGTACCTAGATACAGGACGTTGTGAGTGCATATGCGTGTGTGTACGTACTAGGGGAGTTAGCGTGTAACTGACTCACCGTTTAACCGATAAGCAGATGCACGCAGCCAGCTCCTGGGGAGGCGGCTTCTCTGTGGCAGAGCTGAATGGGCAGCCCCTGGAGCCGAGCAGGCAGCCCCTACCGGTCTGGCTCCCAGGTAAAGGCTTCTCTGCCGCAGCCGCAGGGAAGTTGTATCCCTGGGAGCCAGGCTGTTGCCTCTGCAGTATAAAGCTTGTTCACGCTTTATACTTCAGAGCCCCCCAGTGTGTAACCATGTAACTGCTGAGTTTTTTCACGGTTACCTATTTAACCGACTTTTACCATCCCTAGTGTGTACGCAGCGTGACTTGCCTGCATGAACAAATCCATGCACTTGAGTGGGAAAAATTAGTTGTCGCTGGGCTAACTTGAAAGGAACTTCACCTTATATTGAGCCCCTAATTCGCATCAGGTGCGAAGGAGAGTCGCTGTAGACAATGGGAGAAGAACAGAAACATTTCTCCAATGTATTTTTGAAATCTCCCGGTGAAAACCTCCCACGGCAGCGTTTGAGATCCAGGGATCTTGGCTTTAAGCATCGGGAAGCAGAACTGACTGCTCTGAGCTGTTTTCCAAGGGGATTGGAAGAATCACAGAGTGCTAGGACTGGAAGGGACCTCGCGAGGTCATCAAGGCCAGTCCCCTGCTCTCCCGGCAGGACCCAGCACCGTCTAG